AAAAAATCATCAAATATCAAGCATATGTGTTGTAATCGTCGCTTGGGACTCCCACGCGTGCGCAGGTGACGATCCCCCCCGCTTTAAACAATCATCATAATCATATTCCAGACATGTTTATATTCAAATTATATTACTATAAACAAAACTATATATCCTAAATTCGATAACTAACGGGGACTGTGTCGTGCGTGGCTTGTTTTCATATAAGGCAGATGGCCTAAAGTACGAAAATATACTAATTCTTTCTTGTCGTTCAGAAGACGAAAATAAATATGCCATGCTTGTAACACAAACTTATTAGTAAATAACATAGTTAAACTCTGGTGACCTTGCCCTTTGTTATATAATATTATTTCCTTTATCATAGTTTGTTTCAATATAAATATGCATTTTCATGATCAATTTTAAATACAAACAAGTTTTGGGGTTGAACCAACAGTGGGGAATCAGTCTACGAATGTCCTTAAAAGATGTAAATATCTTATAAAAACATTGGTGCCTAATTTGTTTAATTATTTTAAGGAACATATTTCCAGATTTATTCAAAGTAATTCAAATATTTTAGTATAAAAAACAAATGCCTCATCTCAAAATATAAGTGCTGTATTTAGATGTGAATAGATTCATAAAACAAGCAAGATAACGGCAAATCTTAGCTGGCTTTTGCCCAAGTATTTTGTACAGGTGTCTGTCAGAAATGAATGATTGACTGAGACAAATATGAACTGCCTTATTATATTCATTGTGTGACTACTGTATTATATGAAAAGTATAAAAAAACACCCTCTAGGAATAACTATCATGTTGCAAGCTCTGCTTTGTATGCAAATCAACTCAAATAGTTAGTTGGTGTCCAGTGGAGAGAGAAGTCAAAAGTACTGTTGCCTCCTGAGAATCTACATCTTCAAACACTACAATCTCTGTTTTTGAAGTGCGTTTTTAAATTAGTATTATAAAAGCTCTATCATCCTGTTCCAGTAGCTGAAACAAATTCCTGTTAATTTTTATTTTTATTTGTCGAATGAACTGTTTGTCAAATACAGAATACATATTTTTGAGTACAATTTTCTTTTCAAAATGTGGATGCAACTATGTGTATTTTTTCTGTATTGTTTTTGATTTGATAACTTAAGACTGAACTGATTTTTTATTGGCTTCAGATCTTGATCAAAAGATTGGAACCCAA